CCACAAATGAGTCTAAAACAGCATCACAGGGTCCTGTGGCAGTGCTGGGAACCTCTCCGCTCACACGGCCAGAGGGCCTCAGGACGGGAGTCAAAGCGCAGGCTTGCAGGCGCTCATTCCTGGAGTGTGGCTTAAGGCAGTACACTTCTCTGAGAAGAGGGGGAAGAAAAGATCTCTTTATCTTCAGAAGAGTCAGGAAACAGCTAATGTGAAGTCATCGACCAAGAAAAGAACACACAGGCCCAGGGTGAAGGGAATTTGCCCTTAACATATTTTTTAAAAATAACCCACAATTTGGTATTGAAGTGTAATTTCTAAACAAGTATTTTCTTTCCTTTTTCTTTTCTTTCCTTCCTTACCTCCCTCCCTCCATCCCTCCCTCCATTCCTTCTTTTTTTGGGGGACGGAGTCTCGCTCTGTTGCCCAGACTGGAGTGCAGTGGCGTGATCTCAGCTCACTGCAACCTCCACCTCCCAGTTTCAAGTGATTCTCCTGCCTCAGCCTCTCAAGTAGCTGGGATTACATGCCCCTGCCACCACACCCGGCTAATTTTTTGTATTTTTAATAGAGATGGGGTTTCACTGTGTTGGCCAGGCTGGTCTTGATTGCCTGACCTCATGTTCCACCTGCCTTGGCCTCCCAAAGTGCTGGGACTACAGGTGTAAACAACAGTGCCCAGCCAAGTATTTATTTCTTAAGGCCCAGTCCTACAAAGTGCAAGGCCATTTGAGAACGTCAGAAACCATAATGAAATCAGATCAAAATTCAGCAGCTTTCCACATTGACATTGTTAGAGATGCTTGCCTTTAAATTTTGCCCAGCCGTTCAGGTTCAGGAGCAATTTTATAGGCCTGTATAATATGATGATATAATCAGTGCTTCTATACAATCCTATTTATAAACAAAAACAAGGGAGCAGTCATGCATGTCAGAGTCATTCAGAAAATGTTTAATGAGCAGCATCAGGTAATGAAAGGGCCTAACAGGATTTCCAAAACGCCCAGTCCTTCAAAACTCCATATGAAAATCTTTAAATCTGACGTTTAAAATGTTTCACATTATTATTAGAAAAAACATGTAAGATGTATTAAAGAAGGAGCATGGTTTGGCTCCTTTTTTAAATTTTAATTATGGACTTTATTACTTAGAGTGTTTTTAGGTTCGCAGGAAAACTGAGTGTCAGGTGCAGGGAGCCCCCCGCACCCCTCGCCCGGGGCTGCACTTGGTACAGTGACCTGTCACGCGAATACACAGCTCACATGAGGGCTCACTCCTGTGTCAAACACTTCATGGGTTTCAACAGGTGCGTGATGACATGGACCCACTAGCTCTGGTCCCTTTTATCAGGTTAAAAATAAAACAAGGCCTTGCAGAGATTTAAATGTGGCAGTAATAACATTTGTTATATTTCCCCTTCTGAAAATATTAGCCTTGGAAGGAAATGTTTAACAAGTAGCCACTGTTCTGTGTCTGGGCACATGTCCATAACAAGCGTATTTTCTTATCTACTTCGTGCTGTTGCCAATTTGCAGACCAGTTGCTCAGAAGCTGTGATTTTTCTTCTGAGTGTAAGCTTATCCTCAAAATGGAAACTTTAATCAAAAATACAGCTTGGTCTCAGAGGAGCATTGTAGTCTTGCTGGCTGCAATTCACATGAAGACCGATGACATTATCTCTTTTTTCTGCATCCATCCATCCAACCATCCATCCACCCACCCATCCATCCACCCAACCCTCCATCCCTCCATCCCTGCATCCATCCATTCATCCACTCATCCATCCATCATCTACCCATCCATTATCCATCCATCCACCCACCCATCCACCCATCCATCCATCTGTCCATCCACCCACCCATCCATCCACTCATCCACCTATCCATCCACCCATCCATCCATCCATCCAACCACCCACCCACCCATCCATCCACCCACCCATCCATCCATCCAAACATCCATCCATCCATCCATCCATCCATCCATCCATTCATCCACCCATCCATCCATCCATCTGTCCATCCACCCACTCATCCACCTATCCATCCACCCATCCACCCACCCATCCACCCACTCATCCCCCATCCATCCACCCATCCATCCATCCGCCCATCCACCCATCCATCCACACAGCCATCCACCCATCCATCCATCCATCCATCTGTCCATCCACTCATCCATCCACCCACTCATCCACCTATCCATCCACCCATCCATCCACCCACCCATCCACCTATTNCCATCCACCCATCCATCCACCCACCCATCCACCTATTGATCCACCCATCCATCCATCCATCCATCCACCCACTCATCCACCTATCCATCCACCCACTCATCCACCTATCCATCCACCCACTCATCCACCCATCCATCCATCCATCCATCCACCCATCCATCCATTCATTCTTTTGTTTGCTCCTTTCCACCCAGAATCCATCATTTCTCAAACTGAGGTTTCAGCATCATTCCTTCCTTTTAGAAAGTGCAAACCAAAGCTAAGATTGGCTCCCACATGCCATGCAGGAAGTAGAGTGAGAGCATTTTTCAGACCCTAGTTCTCTTCTGGCCCCACCTCCCATGGTTTCTGGAAGTCCTGGGAGAGGGAAAAGGAGAGAAAGATGGAAAAGAAATTTGATTTTCAGTGTTAAAACTTGACATTTCTTATAGTAGTACGTGTACCAAAGTTATAAAATGGGCAAACTTGTCTAGATGAAGTTTCCTACATTATTATGACATTTTTCCCTGGAGAATCACAAGCTCTGACATACACTTGTGAACCTTACTCATGCAGAAATTCTCTTAAACAGAGATTCTTTCTCTCAATTTAACTTAGGTTAACACAGACACATATTTTACACAGAAAGAATTTTTTCTCTTCATTGTTCAAGTCACCTGGAGGCAGCTCCTGCCTGGGGTGGATGCCTCTGACCCCTGGGAATGACCCTGGCAGCCACCGCGATGCTCCCCGAGGAAGGAGGCTGGTGCCTGGTCCAGCTTTCCCATCCAGCACCTCCGTGGCTGGCTCACCCCAGCTCAGGGCAGAAGCCTAATCTAGGATTGTTCAGGCCAGCTGGTCCAGTCAGACGCTAGAGTTTGTCTGGGGGCCCAGCCTGCCAGCAGCACAGTTGAGGGGACACAGGCTTGGCCACAAGCACCCCCACTATCCTTTCCTACAGATCTGGCACATTTAATCTTCTTCTTTGGGGAGGGAAGAGGATGCATTCAGAAATGCCTATGCAGATGAGGCCCTCAGGAGCTTGCAGTGGAATCACTCAAAATTCCCAAGAAGCCTGAGTCTCCTAATTCAATTCCATGTACATCTGCCTAATTCTCAATCCACGTCTAAGGTTAGAATGCACATTTTAACTGGCCATTCTGGACAACACACATACCCACTATACCATGCATTTAACCCTCTCTGTACCTTGCTCATATCAGCTCAAATGCAGCCCGCTTCTCAAAAGCCCAGTTCACTTTGCAGCAGGTGCGCGCTTCCATTAAAGTTTTCCTCCCGTGGGTTCCGGCAGGCTTCCCAACACAAACACAGCAGGAACTGGATTGTGTTTGTAGAAAATGCAAAATAATCTCTAGGTGAGGGCTTAGGATGAAAAGTGAATTGAGTGTTGGTGCAGGTTTTTGTTTGTTGTACTTATGGGGGAGGGTGATGAAAATGCTCTAAAATCGATGGCATTGATGGTTGCGTGAGCCTGTGGATATGCTTTACAAGCACTGAACTTTACACTTTAAATAAGTGACTTGTACTGTGTGTGAATTATATTTTAATAAAGCTGTTATTTTTATAAAGTAAATTTAGCAACAACACCGGGTACAAGCTAAATATACAAAAATTATATAGACCAGCAACAAATAATTAGAAAATGTGAATTTTTAAATGACACCAGTTTAGTAGTATCAAAACCCATCAACTACCTAGCAGTTATTCTAGTAAAATATTTTGAAAATAGCAAAACATTTATTAAGGTAGATTAAAAAAGATTTAAATAGGCCAGGAGTGGGGGCTCACGCCTGTAATCCCAACACTTTAGGAGTCCAAGGAAGGTGGGTCATTTGAGGTCAGGAGTTCGAGATCAGCCTGGCCAACATGGTGAAACCTCATCTCTGCTAAAAATATAAAAATTAGCCAGGCATGGAGGTGCCTGTAATCCCTGCTACTTGGAAGGCTGAGGCAGGAGAATTGCTTGAACCTGGGAGGCGGAGGTTGCAGTGAGTGCAGATCACGCCACTGCACTCCAGCCTGAGTGACAGAAAAAAAAAAAAGAAGATTTAAATAAAGGAAGAAACACGATATGTTTATGGATTAAAAAACACAAAAATTGATTTATAAATTCCATGTAATTCCTGTTAAAATCCAGGCAGATGTGTGTGAGTGTGCGTGTTGGGGGCGGGGGTTGCTAGGGTTTACATGGGCATGCACAGGGCAAGAGTGGCAAGAAGACCTTGAGGAAGCCCAGAGCGAGGGGCTCAGTCCACCAGGTGCCAATGCCCCCGGTAAAGCTACAGGAGTCAGGACCCGGAGACACAGCCGTCAGTGAAGTGGAATGGAGGGGCCAGAAACAGACACACACACGGACGCTTGATCTACAGCAGATTCAGGATTGCAGAGCAGGGAATGGGGGGCCTCTTTGCGAATGGTGCCAGCTCAGTTGCAGACCATATGGAGAATGCGAACTGGGGCTGCCCGTTATCCCACACGCGGTCTGCAGATGCAAACGCAGAGGCTGAAACAAATGCATCTGGAAAAAAATCACGGGGGGAGCGTCTTCTCCGCGGTGCCTAGGATCCACAGGTGAACAAGACCAGGTCCCTGTCTGGATGGGGTTTCGTTTGGGGGTGTGGAGGGGGTGCAGAACCAAAAATCACCAAACAAGCGAATGAAGCAGAGAGCTGGTAAGTGGGTGCTCCCACAGGCAAGGAAGGCGGGGAACACGGGCAGGCACGTGTGTGTGCAAGGACACCAAAGGTGGACCTGCAGAGCCACGCCTGGCAGCAGCGACCGTCCCGACCAGTCAATGCTGGCCTACGCAGGCATGGGATGAGGTGCCGCTATTGAAATCAGGTCCATCTGGATCCGTGTGGAATGTGGAAGGAGCCACATGTGCAGCGGCGCTGGCATACCGTGAGAATATGAGAGGATGGTGAGTCCCACGCAGTGCCACGGAGGGGGAAAGGCAGCCCGGTGAGGCAGCCAGTGGCTCGGACCCGTCCTGTGACCCAGCCGTGGCGCTGCACTCCACGGCAGGTTTCTCTGCTTCTGCCACAACTCAGGGAACAAGGCCGTTGGATGAGGTGCTAGGACCGCTGATGAGGAGGCCTGGCGGAGCAGGGACCCTGACCTGCGCTCACAGAAACACCCATCTGCTCCGCAGTCCAAGCCTCAGGAATTGCGTGTGAGGTTCAGCCACAAATCACAGCAGGCACAAGGAAGAAACAAACAGGGAAGTCCCCGAATTCGGAGTGACAAACGGCAGGATTTCATACCCTCTTGGGGGCCTGCACTCGGAGAATGACTGCAGCTGGATTTCAAACCCGAGGAATTCACTCTCCGTCCCTGTGGTGTGGGTCACAGGGGAAGAGGAGCCGCTCAGAACTATTGGACTGTGATCTCTAATCGGGTTGTTAAGAATAGTATTGGTGGGTTTTTTTCTATTGCTGTTGTTTTTTGATTTTGTTTTTGAGATGGAATCTCGCTCTGTTGCCCAGGCTGGGGTGCAGTGGCACAATCTTGGCTCACTGCGACGTCTGCCTCCTGGGTTCAAGTGATTCTCCTGCCTCAGCCTTCTGAATAGCTGGGATTACAGAAATGTGCCACTACACCTGGTTAATTTGTGTATTTTTAGTGGAGATGGGGTTTTACCATGTTGGCCAGGCTGGCAACCCCCCTCTGCAGCAGCACAGGCTGGAGGGGTCCCAGCATCCCATCCGCCAGGATCCCAGGACCTGGGGTGGCAGGGCCCAACCCTCCTCTGGGTTCTCCTGGGGGCTGAGGAGTTGGGTCCAGGGCATCGTGAGGACACGGGACCCCCCATTGTCGGCTTCCTGTGAACACTCAGGCCCGGCAGGGCAGAGCAGTAGGTGAGGGCCCATGTCTGGGACCAGGCTGTCTCACTCCTAACCCCTTCTCTCCCTCCTTCCTGCTGTTCAGCCTTGGCAAGTTACATGACCTTCTGGACCTCAGTGTCCTCATCTGTAAGACGGGTGTTGTGCTGTGGATGTGAGGAGCCAATGGGAGTGCTGCTGGCTGGCGGCATTTGCCTGGGGCTCTGATCCAGGGTCCCCAGAACCCAATTCCACATTAGCCAGGGTTCTGGCAGCCAGGACCACTGGGAGACAGACTGCCCGGGTCCCCAGCAGACTTGGGTCAGGCCCTTCCTGGGCCCCTAAGGCCCCCATGCTCACGCTGTACACTGGCCTCAGGGGGTGGGGAGTATTCCCAGACCTTCCCCAGGCAGAATTCTTGGTGATTCTGCTCTGATTAGTGCTGGGGGAGGGGATCTGGGGTCCTTAATCCCCAGGGTGGGTAGTCACCACATTCCAGGGGTCACCATCGGCACTGGCCTCAAAGTCCTCAGCACAAATTGACATAAAATCCATGGGGATTCAGCCGAAGGCTCACACCTGTAATCCCAGCACTTTGGGAAGCCAAGGTGGGAATGTCGCTTGAGCCCCTGAGTTTGAGACCAGCTGAAGCAACATAGTGATACCCCATCTCTCCAAAAATACGAAACACGGTTAGCTGAGGGTGGTGGCATGCGCCTATTGTCCCAGCTACTGGGGAGGCTGAGGCAGGAGGATTGTTTAACGCCAGGAGGTCGACGCTGCGGTGAGATATGATCACGCCACTACACTCGGGCCTGGATGACAGAGCCAAACTCTGTCTCTAAAAACAAAACAAACAAAAACTCCATGAGAATTCCCTCAGGGATGGAAAATTACTTCCAGCCATTGGGAGCAGAGTGCACCACCGACTGGGCACGGGGTGCCCCACTATGGGAGAGAGAGGCTCCTTTCTGTAGCTTAATCACCCCGACGGACTAATGAGGCTAGCCGTTCCCAGGAAGCGTGTTTTACGTAACTGCTGGTAATGAGACTGGTGAGGCTGCGTGTGTGTGCGTGTGCGCGCTCGTGACTCGGGAAGCCTCCAAGCTGCCAGGATTCATTCGTCTTCTCTAATGAGCCTCATGGGAACATGACCACCCTGCAGGAAGGAGAAAGCGGGATGGGCTTGCTTTCCAGCAGCTCTGCTCCAAAAGTGGAAGAACTTACTGCCTTCAGGGACACTCCACAGCTCCTGCCTCTGCTCATTTCTACGTCACTCAAGTGAGCAGCTCCTGAATTTGAAGAGGGATGTGTACATAAGTACATGCATTCACACATGCACGCAGGCCACATGTGAATATGTGCACATGCATTCATGGTGTACACTCCACACACATGTCCACAGGCATACACCCTCACATGCTATATATGTGCATGTGTGCTTGCATTCACGCGCACAAACCACACATATGTACACACAGACTTGCATTGTGCAGCACACGAGCACACATGCACCACACACATCACACATGTGCAAACATGTATCACACTGCACACATGCATATAAACATGCACCACACACCACACCACACACATGCACACAGACACACATCACACCCACACCACACATATGTGCACATAGACCTGCATCACACAGCACGTGTGCATATAAACATGCACCACACACCACTTCACATGCATCTGTGCACAAACCTGTATCACACAGCACACGTGCATATAAACATGCACCACGTGCCACACAAAACACATGTGTATACATATCACACACAGACTTATACATGCGCAATCATTCCCACACACACCATATGCATTTATATACCCACACACATCACTGCCACATATGCATGTGTTGCATACCTGTGCACATGTACCACACACACCACACGCATGTGCATGGGTGCATGCAACACACTTACACATGCCATGTACCTGTGCACAGGTGCGTGCACTCACACATACCACAGATGTATACACACATAATTTGTATGTACACATATATGCACATAGACCTGCATTTACATATATACCTGCCATAGAAGCCAGGTGTGAAAATGAAAACCTCAGGACCCAGAAGCCGTCATAAGAGGAGATGGACCCAGCCAGGAGGAAGCCGCCTCCACCAGCTGCAGCACTCAGGGCGTACAAAGGACCCCTGGGTGAGGGGCCAAGCTGAGTGGCTGATGCTGGAGGAAAGCTGGGGGGGCCAGCACAGCCCCCTAGGGCCACCTTGGTCCCAGCGCCGACCGCGACTCCTTCCTCCGGCTGCCTCATTCACTGGGCTTGAGTCGACAAGAACCTGCCAGGGAGGGCGGCAGGAGCACAAGGCTGAGGGAGCCTCAGAGTTTTCCTTGCAATGACGGGACCCAGGAAGCGGGGAAGGGCCTCCACACACCTGGGGCTCAGCGGGGACCAGGACGTGGCGGCGGCTGGATGGACCCCAAAACCAGGCAAGACTGATGGAGAGCGTGGATCAGGGAGTTTCTGCACCAGCTCTTCGCACAATGAGGAAGGGTCTTGCTGCTACAAAATAGAAGAAACTCAGCAAACAACTTCTCTGAGCAATGGTTAAAAACACCCCCTCCCCCAGCACGTGTGGTCCTGGAACTCATGCTGTACAGGGTTTCAGCTCTTGCTAGGGGGCTCCTGCAGCCCTTGGGTTTGAAGTCAGCAGAGGCCTGGCCTTGCTGCCTGCCCATGTGCCCGCCTGCCCATGTGCCCACCAGCCATATGGCAGCCTGCCATGTGCCCGCCTGCCTGCCCACTTGTCCTCCGGCAGCATGGTCTGGGCAATGGCAGTGGAATGGGGAAGCAGCCCTACTTTCCTCTCTGGCCCGGGGTCTGAGTGGGGGACCCTGGCCATGGCATGTGTTTGTCCTCAGCTCTGCACTGGCCCCCACAGGCCCCTGGGGTTAACCTGGGCCCGGAGTTTCTAGGAAAGAGGGGTGTGGGCTGAGTATACAGGGCTCACCCTTCCTGTGGGGGCCAGAGGGCTCCTCTGCCCCTCCCAGGCCCACTTCCTTCCTCCCACACGGACGGCCCGGGGGTTCAGCCCTGGAAAATATGAGCAGCTTGGCTGTGGCTCGACCTCCTCTTTCTACTCGCCTGCACCTGGGACCCACTTCCTGCTGGCTGCCACTGCTGGTGGGTCCAGGGCAGCCTCAGCCATGGGTCAGCCCTGCAGCCAGCGGCCCACGCAGAAACCATGCTGCCTCATGCCGCATGCCCAGCATGCGGGCAGCTGGGGGGTCCTAAGCAGCAGGGGAGGATCTACTAGACTTGAGAAGCCAGGAATCCACACCAAACCAGGGATCTGGTGGGAGAAGAAGTCCAGCTCCTCAGCCTGGCCCCCGGAGACTGGGCATTTGTCTGCTCCCTGTCCCTCCCAAAGACTCAGGGGCTGAGTCCCAAGGGCTCCTGTGGCAGCTCTGTGCCCACCATGCCAGCCCCTCCACCGCCTTTTCTAGCTCTGGCTTCAAGGCTTTCTCCTTGGTGCCCACGGTCAGCCCTCTGCCCAGCAGTTACCTCCGTCCAGGCACACACAGGTCTTGTTCCCGCCTTTGCCTATGGGGCCCCTCCACGGATGGCTGGAGGACCCTTATGGACCCTCAGCTGGTCATCTGCTGCCTGTTCCTGTGCCCACAGCCAAGGCGGCCTGATCTCACAGCACAGGGTGAGTCAGCTGGGAGGAATCAGGGGAGGCGACTCTCCAGCCCCCTCTGACCCCGGCAGTTACTGGCCCTGCACTGGGCCCGGTTTCCACACCTGTCAACAGCAGGTTAGGACTTTATGCAGAGTCACGAAGTCTTCACGCGCACACACAAGCTGGTATACACACGTATGTGCGGACACATGCACAGGCAAACACATGCGTACGCATACCATTATGGATTGAGTTGTGTCTCTCCCTAATTCCTGTTGGAGTCCTAACCTCCAGGATCTGTGAATGAACTTACTGGAGACAGGCTGCAGCTAACCAAATAGAAATGAGGTAATGAGGGTGTGTTTGTGTTTCTTTTAGAGGGGGAGGTCTGGACACCGTGTGAAGACAGCTGGGGATGCATCTGCAAACTGAGGAGCCACGATGGCTGGGGGACCCCTAGGAGCTGGGGGAGGCCTGGAGCAGCCTCTCCCCCACAGCCTCAGGAGGAACCAGCCTGCCGAACCCTGACCTCGCACTTCTGGCCCCCAGAGCTGTGAGATAATAAATGTCTATTGTTTAAGCTCCAGTGTGTGGTAGCTTATTACGGCAGCCCTAGCAAACTGTGCACCCAGGAACAGGCCAGGCACACAGGCACACAGACACAGACACACAGACACAGGCACAGAGGCACACGCACACAGACACAGGCACACAGACACAGACACACAGGCACACAGACACAAACACATAAACACAGGCACAGAGGCACGCAGGCACACGGACACAGACACACAGGCACATGCACACAGGCACAGGCACACAGACACAGACACACAGGCACACGCACACAGACACAGACACACAGACACAGACACAGGCACACAGGCACATGGACACACAGACACACAGGCACACGCACACAGACACAGACACACAGACACAGACACAGACACAGGCACACAGGCACACGGACACACAGACACACAGGCACACGCACACAGACACAGACACACAGACACAGCCACAGGCACACAGACACACAGACACACAGACACACAGGCACACAGACACAGACACACAGGCACATGCACACAGACACACAGGCACACAGACACACAGACACAGACACAGGCACACGCACACAGGCACAGACACACAGACACAGACACACAGGCACACGCACACAGACACAGACACACAGACACAGACACAGACACAGCCATAGGCACACAGACACACAGACACACAGGCACACAGACACAGACACAGGCACACAGGCACACAGACACAGACACAGGCACACGCACACAGACACAGACACACAGGCACACAGACACAGACACAGACACACAGACGCAGGCACAGAGGCACGCAGGCACATGGACACAGACACACAGAAACAGAAGGAAGAACTGACCTGAATTTGCCCCACTCCCCGCTGCCAAAATTCATTTCCTAGCCCCAGCGTCTCAGACGGTGACTGCATGTGGAGCTGGGGTCTTTACAAGGCGATTAAGTTAAAATGTGGTCATTAGGGTTGCACTGGCCCAGTCTGGGGGGTCTCATAAGAAGAGCAGATGAGGGCACAGACACACAGACAGAGGGACGGCCCTGTGAGGACACAGGGAGAGACGCGTCTGCAAGCCAAGGACAGGCCCCAGGAACCTGCCCGGCTGCACCTGGGTATCTGACCCCAGCCTCCGGAACTTTGAGAAGCAGGCGTCTGCTGTTCAAGCCACCTGTCCTGCGCATCCTTAGGGCAGCCCAAGCAAAATGATAAAATCCCCAGCGCCTCGTCCCCGCGGATGTAAGCCTGAGAGTGCACCTGTCAAAGGCAATAGGATAAAAACAACTGGAGAGCGTGCCCCGCATCAACACAGACACGGAACGCACAACCAGATGTCAGCAATCACGCCCAGCAAGAAAACTAGACAATACCCAGGAGCAAACGCGCTTCCGCCCGGGATTCCCCACCACCGGACACGCTTCTGCCCGGGACTGGAGAGCCGTTTGCTATCTGAGCGTCCATCGGTGTCATCCACGTAGTAGCAGAATAAAAGAATAAAACACGATCATCTCAATAATGCAGAGAAATCTTTCAACAAACAAGCAACACCATTTTCACAGATAAGAACTCGAAACAGGCTAAGAATACAGTAGAACTCTCTCAATATGATACGGGCTGCTTGTGAAGAGCCTAGAGCTAAAATCAGACATGACGGTGGCATGGAACACTGATCTTACACAAACTCACGCAGAAACAGAAGGAAGAACTTCTGATGCGGCTTGAATTTGCCCCCCTCCCCACTGCCCAAATTCATATCCTAACCCCAGCGTCTCAGAAGGTGACTGCATGTGGAGAATGGGATCTTTATAGAGGTCACCAAGTTAAAATGTGGCCATTAGGTGAGTTTCCCTCTCAGTCTGTGAATGAGTTGAGGCTGTCTGCCTGACTGCATCTATCCGTGCTGTACTGGAAATGCCGGCTGTGCCGTCAGAGAGACAAAGGGGTCGTGCAGTTTGGAGAGGGGCCTGTTACCAGGGTGTGGCCTTTCCCCCAATCCCACCCTCCGACTCCACCCTGCGCTGCCAGGGCTGGGACTCCACAAACCACATCTCTGCTCGGCCCACTGGCCCCCCCTTAGACTGCCAATAAGGGGTGCTGGAGAGACCGCCAAGCTCCGAAGGCACAGGGGAGGCCAGGCAAGTGTTCCGGGTTCCAGGAGACTGAAGTCTGTGAGCGCTCCTGCATCACACCCTTGAGTGGGAGACAGCTGACAAGCATGGAAAGAGGGCTGCCCACAGAAGGTTGTGTCACGTCGCTCGGTGATTGCACACGGGGCTTGCTGGGGCCCAGAAGCCAGGACCCAAGACACAGCTTTGATGTGAATCCAGGCAGCCTCAACGTCCCTCTGGCCTCCCTGCTCCTGTCCCTCGCAAAGCAGGAAGTTGTTCTCTGAATCCCCCTTATCTGCCTGAAGTTCACACCTGCCCAAGAAGAAGACAATGGCCTGAGTCCCTCCCTGTTTTCCATTAACCGAGCTCCTACCCAGGAAGAAAGGCTGACGTTTGTCAACACAGCACACCTAGCAAATCTCACCACCATTGTCTGCTCCAGTGGACTTTGCCCCAGGCCATTGTCTGTTCTTCAAGCCCACTGAATTCCCTAAAGATGATTTACCACCTCCGTAAAACCACTCACACCGCCCCATCTCCTTTCCCCTAAGAGGAAGGTGCATGGCCGGCTGTGGGCCCCTGGGTTTTGGGGTAACCATCCTCCTAAGAGTCTCCACGCTACACTCATTAGAATAAATCTGTCAGCCTTTTCTTCAGTTAATCTGCCTTCTGTGAGTTGACTTTTCCAGCGAACCTTTGGAGAGCAAAGGGGACGTTTTTCCCTTGGCCCCTGCTAGCCTACTTTTTTTTTTTTTTTGGTTCTGAAAACACTTTTGGGGGAGGGAGAGGAAGTGTGATGAAGAAAATGGGATAAAATACACAAAGTTAGTAAGTCCGAGTAAAGCGCTCCGTCTCTACCCCTGCAACTTTGTCCTCTAAGCTTTAAATTTCAAAACGAAGCACTAAAGAATGAGAGCATGAAGCTGGGAAAAGTCATCGTTTCTCCCACAGGGAAGCAGCCGTGTGCCCATGATCACAACCAGCCAGGGTCCGACACAAGGACTTGGAGGCGGTTCCCCTGTAGGAACGCTGAGCCGGCACGTTTCGCAGCTGACCTCAGCTCCCTGCAGCTGGGAGCACATTTTTTCCTATCGGATGTTCTTTCGCAGAAAAAGAATGTTCAGATTTTTGCTTTTGGTCTCACTGTTGGTGATGCTTTTCCGGATGTGTGGGGCCGGACACACACAGGCCCACGCCATTCATTTCTCTTTCCACTAGCTAGGTTAGGCTTGCCTGTCCACAGAACACATATTCCTGATTCCCCGGCCTCGCCATGCAGCCTCGGCGCCTGGGGTGTGTTGGGAGCAGCCAGGGAACCAGTGAGCTGCCGCATTTGTGGGCTGCTGGGTGGAGAGAGCTGGTGTTAGAGGCTGTCAGATGTGGAAGTAATCGACAGGACCCCAGGTCCCGTGGTTTTCAGTCTTCAATCCATTTCGTGCACAACAGCACTGGAATAAAAGAGGCCAAGTATGTGAAGTGCAAAAGCAGCCCTGATCTACCTGAGTGGGCAGCTGCTCCAGGACCTTCTCGGAGTCCCATGCCCTGTCCTGAGCCCCCCGACCTCCCATGGAGACCCAGGGACCAGGCCACTAAGGGAAGTCAGCAACTAGGGCCCCAGACTTGAGCCTGGTGGTCCATGCCAGGAAGGGCCCAGCCACACAATGCCGCCCGATGAGTGAGGCTTGAAGCCCAAGGGCAGCCTCTCCCGGAGCAGCTGCGGCCCAGTCAGGCCTCTTCTCCAAGCCCCTTCTCTCCGTGCGTCATTTTGTTTTGTGTGTGGTGGACACCATGAGTGGCCTCCCGCCAGCGAATCTGACCAATGATGACTAGCGACCATTCCTGGCTGCTCTGTGAAGCGGAATCTGGGTTCACAGCCAACTCCAGGACTGAGATCTTTGCTCAGGTCAGAGCCAAGATCTGGGGATCCAGCTATTCCCCCACCCATCAAATGTCCCTTAGTACCTGAGCCCCTGCTGCCCAGGGGCACCATCGAGCCAGAGCCCCGGGGGAGGGCCCCGGTGGAGTGTAATGGACAAAACAAGATGGAGCAAGACGGGTCCGACTCATCAGCGCCGTCATTCACAGCAAGTGTGGGGTAGCAGTTTCCCTAACTGGCACGTCTGTGCCCTGTTCTAAGGCTGTTGGCTGTGAACGCAGCCCAGCCCCACAACTCTACGGATAGGTGCCACTACTATCCCTATTTGACAGAGCAGGAAACTGAGGCACAGGGCGGTCACACAACTGAGCAGCATAGAGCTTGGATTTGTAGCCGGGGAATCTGATGGCAAAGCTCTAGTCCACCAGCTGCCCAGAGGCCACAGAGAGTGTGGGGCCGAGGACAGTGTGCGTGGCGGTCCCAAAGGGCCACAGAGAGTGTGGGGCTCAGGACAGTATGTGGGGGAGTCCCAGCCTTTGGGAATCTGGGGCACAGCCCAGGAATGAGAAGCCGAGGAAACAGACAAGGAGGGGAGCATCTTGGCAGCAGAGGCGGCTCAGGGCAGCTGAGGGGTGGGGGCCAGTGCTGCAGCCCCTGGGAAGGCTGGCTGGTTTGTATGCAGAGCGGGAGAGCCACACAGTGGAATCTGAGCTCAGGAAGCAGCCAGGGGCAGGGCCAGCCCCACAGAGCCTTCCCTGGGGCCAAGGCCCAGGGCAACGCCTCCTTCAGCTCACCTCAGAATGCCTCCTCCTGCTCTGCGCAGTGCAGTCCAGGAGTCCGCAGCGGGGACACCTCCTACTGGCTCCCCTACACCAGCCAGAAAGCGCAATGGGACAACACTCAACCCACTCACAATTGCAAGCACAATTGGGACACAGTCCCCAGAGGAGTGGCTTTCCCTCTTAAACCATCCACACCCCCGGGACGCCCGACGGGAACCAGAGGTCACCCACTGCCTAGACCAGACCCAG